ATATTAGAGACGAATAGTCAACAGTGTTGGAAGAGTGGCAGGGTCAGGAGGTGCTTCTTTAGCTTAAGGATGATCTAAGCACATTCATAGACAGAACAGGGGTCAGTAGATAGGAATAAAATAAATATAGAAGAGAGGGGAGAGGACTAAGATGGTCACAGTAAAAGACAGATAATAATAAGTATCGATGAGGAAGTGGAGAAATTGGAATCCTACTATATTGCTTGTGAGAAAGTGGAATGGTACAGTACCCAGGGAAAACTCTTTGGCAGTCCCTCAAGGTGTTAAACATAGAGTTTCCATATGACCCAGCAATTCCACTCCTCAGTATACACCCAAAATAAATGAAAACATAAATCCACACAAAAACATGTACCTGAATGTACAGAGCAGCACCAAGTGCCCATCCATAGATGCATAGATAAAGCAAATTGATATATTCACATAATGGAATATTATTTAGCTATAAAAATATGCGCTACAAACATGGACAAACCTTGATAATATTTGTTCAATGAAAGAAACCAGACACAAAAGGCCACATATTGTATGATTCCATTTATATGAAACATTCATAATTTATAGAGATAGAAAGCAGATTAGTGATTGTTTAGGGTGGGGGTAGTTGGGAGGAAATGAGGAGTGACTGCTAATGTGGATGGGTTTTTTTTTCAGGATGATGAAAATGTTCTGGAATCAGATAGTGGTGATGGTTGCACAACTTTGTGGCTATACTAAAAAGCACTGATTGTATACTTCAGTGGGGTGAATTTTATGGCATATGAATTATACCACAATTAAGCTGGGCATGGTGGCTCATACCTGTAATCCCAGCACTTTGGGAAGCTGAGGTGGAAGGATCACTTGAGGCCAGGAGTTCAAGACCAGCTTGGGCAACATAGTGCGACCCCATCTCTAACAATAATAATAACAAAAAAAAACAATGAAGAAGAATGAATTGTACTATAATTAGGTAAATCAAAACAAAGAGTGGAGAGGAAGGTATGGGAAGAAGGAAGGAGAGGGTAAGACCCAGAGCATAGTTAGAAAGATTAGCCTTGGTGAGAAAGGACACCACCTCTTCAGGATGAGAAATTTTGAGGTGGGGATAAGCTCACAGTGGACGGCTTTAATGGCAGCTAATACATACACACTTGCTATATGCCAGGCATTTTTCTAACTGCTTTTCATGTTTTCATTTAACTTTCAAAACAACCCTGAGAGGTGGGTCATACTATTTTTATCCCCATTTTACAGGTGGGAAAGCTTAAACACAGAGAGGTTAAGGAATTTGCCTCAAGTCCCACAGGTGGGATTGATGTCAGAGTTGAGATTCGAACCCAGGCAGACTGGCTCCAGAGTCTGGCACTTAACCACTGCACTGTACTATGTCTCTTGAATGTCTGTGTTCCTCAATAAAATAGGTAAGGCTGAGTGCTGAGAGTGATAGGGGCTGAGAGCATATTTGGGGCTTGTGAGCAGAAAAGGTTAAAAAACTACCATGAATGGGAGGCTGAGGCGGGAGGATCGCTCGAGGTCAGGAGTTCGAAACCAGCCCGAGCGAGACCCAGTCTCTACCAAAAATAGAAAGAAATTAATTGACCAACTAAAATACATATATAGAAAAAATTAGCCGGGCATGGTGGTGCATGCCTGTAATCCCAGCTACTCAGGAGGCTGAGACAGAAGGATCGCTTGAGCCCAGGAGATTGAGGTTGCTATGAGCTAAGCTGACGCCACAGCACTCTAGCCCAGGCAAAAAAACAAACAAAAAAACCCAACTACCATGAAGAATGTGGGAGAGAGTTACCAACCAAATATGTATGCAAGGTTCTTGGGAGTGGCAGAGGCCTAGCAGAAGCAGTTTCTCCATTCTAACATCAGCAGCCTTGGTCGCATTCTAGCCCTTACTATTGTTCTATTCCTGCAGATCTGTGGTGGGGGTTTTCTTATGTGGTCCCCAGACTTTGGCAAAGAGCCTGCGCAAATGCTGTCACCGATACTCCAGTCTGGATCCTAGGAAGGTTCAATTCTACTTCAACAAAGAAAATTTCTGAATTATTGGCATAAGGACAGGAATATGCATTCTCTCTCCTTTGTATCTTCAGTAACTTACTTGGTCTGGTCAGCCAGTTTAGGTCAAGCCTTGACTCCCTAGCATTCTTTTTTTGATCACGTTCAACTTTGTTAACTTGAGCTTCACCAACCTAAGAACTTCAGAAGTAACAATTATTGCAAAATCTATGGATCCTTTCTCGGGAAAATAACTGTAAATCCTTCTGGAAAGCCGACTGCAGCAAGACTTGATAGCAGAGCTTTGGTGGTTGACAGTTACACAATTTAACCCCAGGTGATTATGTCAATTCCAAGTGTTAACATCCCCTGGACTTTGGTTTGTAATCTCTCCCTCCCACCCTCACAGAAGATTTCTAAGTAGGGTGACTTTAAATAAAAATTTATTGAATAATTAATGACAAAACATAATAATAAACATAAATAATAAACAATGAACAGAAAATTATCAAGAACCCCATCCCATATAACACCAACTATGTACATTTTTACTGTAACTTTAAACATTATCTTATCCAGTGTGAACAGCAATTTATGCTTTACTTATTTTTGCTTGTCAAAAAATGAAGGATTTTCTTCTTTGTTTAATGAATCTTTTGTTACTTCTGGGTTCTCCATTTGGGAAAGAAAACCTTGAAAGTATGCTAATTGTAACTGAAATTGTATTATAATTGCAAGTCAGCTACCTTGTCAACTTGTATCGTTCTGTTAAAAATAATTTTGAAAACTCGACAAGGGCTCTTTATCGCCGCTTTTATTAAGGGGGTTTATTAATGTCTAGCTTAAAAAAGAATTTATAATTTTAATAGATTTGTTTGGCTCCTACCTACCTATTCACTAAAGAATCATTCAGCTAATGACATAAGCAAAATGCTTTTCTTTCTCCTATCACAATGCTTTTTATTTCTCCCATCTACCCAATCTGACCCTACAACAGGCTCTGGGGTGTTAGTAGTCACAGTGAATCACTAGGAAAACATCCTGAGCTCTTAAAAGAGAGAAAAAACAGAAAAAACAACCAAAAAAAAAAAAAAACCCCAAAAAAACCTCATAATTCATTGTGCCCAAAGACAATTTAACTCATTATAGATTTGTAAGAATGTTTCTACTGAATTAGCATTATAGCACCTTTTTTTTTATCATTAAAAGACCAAGAAGGAACAAATGGTTGTTTCTAATTATCAGGAACCTCCATGGCTTGAAGGATTGGTAAAATTGGGTTTTTTAGTCACTAGTCTGAGCACAATAAAGGTGGGTCATGAACTCATGGTAGCTAATTCTGTTTCGTTTAATTACACCAGTAAAAAATAACAGTGGGTATTTCCATAGGGAGGGATACCACTGCTGTTGCCAATTCGTGCGCCTAGATTTCAGCTATCTAAATTAGGTTTAACAGGACGTTGGGAAAATGCACAATGGAACCATGAATATATGGTTCCTATTAGAAAACTACTGACTGAATAATTTAATCTCCAATGACCTCGCTTTGTAATCTTAGTGTTCCTAGAAATTTATAATGAGTTTCTAAAAAGAAAGGTTTCACTCAATCTCAATGTCTAAATATACTGACACTTCAAGAGTGATTTTGCTGCCAAAATCAACATGTCAAGGCCTTAATATTCATGGAGTAGGCAGAAAAGGTAATGAAAATAATAAATTCTATGCATAATTGACATCCAAGCTGAATTGGGGATGACCAGGATACCCAGAAATCTCCCCAGCTGTTTCGATTAAGATTTTCTCACTAGGTTGTAATAAATATGAAATACCTTATCCAGCAAATATTTGTTATAAATGTTTATATATCAGAGTAGAAAATCCTTCAATTTCAGTGTCTCTCATAAAGTTGATTATTTTTGCATTCTTTTGCTTAATATGTAAGCAATATGCTATTACATTCTCTAAGCCTATGCCAGGCTTTTAATTCACCTGACTATAATCCTAACCCAGGGGGTAGGATTCTGAGAATATAAATAGGCTCAAAAGTAGTTCTAGTAGAACTTTACTAATTATTAAGGCAACTCTTAACCTCTTGAGGTTGGCCTGATGAAGAGAAACCATGTTCCCTCCTAATGCCACTACCAGAGATAGAATACTAGGCAAGAAGACCTGTAGGTTAGAGTTAATGGCACTAATTATGTTCATACCTATCCGCAAGGAAGCAGTTAGGAGCAGACCTAATTGGTGATCTGATTGTATGTGCTCTACATCTGGTCCTCTTTAACTGAGAAGAATGTAAAAGTTTTAGGGTTTTCTATGGTTTAAGTTCCCAGAATAAGTTTGGTTATAGGGTAGGGCAGCATGTTAGTGATTTCCTGGAAGATAGGATGAAATGTTTTTTGTTCATTTGATTTATGTTCAGTTCTTATTTTATCTTGAACATGTGAAAAACTAGTAATTTTTTAAACTTGATTACCTACCTAGACTGGTAAGTTTTAAAGAACAGACAAGTAAATGTTAATGGTCTCTTATATTGTTGACGCACACTCAAACCAGTGCTAACACATCGTTGTCTTAACTCTGAACTATGCATGTTCAGACCTGGTATTGACAAAAAATGCATTTTGATATTTAAATTTTTCTAAACACATGGCTGTGCTAGGCTCTTTGATTTATTGGTCTTCTGACCATTTTACAGCAAAATAGCACGTGCTATTTTCTCCCAGAAGACTCAAGTTCTAGAAAGTTTTCAGAGGGCAAAAAGCCTTATTATTCTGCTAGAAGCAAACTAAACAAAAAGTAAGTTTCAGAAAACATTGCTTCTGAGAAATTATCAAATATCAAGAAGAATAAATGGTAAACCTAAAGTAAGAACAGCTATGGCAATATAATGTTAAAGTACAATACTGCAGTAAGGGTAGAAAACACATCTAAGGTTTCACCCTTGGTGTTTAGCTTTTTAAAAGCAAAAAGGTCATGTATATCAATTTGCAGTGTACTAAAATTGTGTTCAAAGTTTATTTCAAGTCACAGAAAATATACAAACTACGACAACAAAATGAACTGATTTTGTTCTGAGAGAAGGTGATGGGAGTCCTCCACCTGGCACCGATTTGAGTCATTCAAGGATTAGGATGTAGAAGTCATCTTTTTTCAGCATTTCGACAAAGTTATGGAGTTAATTTCCAGATTTCTTGCCAGGTATTTTTGAAAACCTATAAGAAAAAGTTGGGAGAGAACCATTAGAACTGGAGACAAAGTTCTCTTCAGGAAAAACATGAGGAAAAAAAAAAAGGCTGGGGGAGGGAGGATAGGCCTAAGACTAAATCACCAAGACAGATTTCTAAGGTGTCTGTCTCCTGCCTCCCATCTCCTCAAAGCAATCATCCCTTACAGCAAGGTTTCTCAACCTCAGCACTACTGACATTTTTGGCCAGAACCCTCTTTGTTATTGGGGAAGGGAAGGGGGCATCCTGTGCATTATAGGATGTTCAGCAGCATCTCTGGTTGCTACCCACTGAATGCCAGTAGCACACCATATGCCCTTAAGTTGTAACAACCAAAAATGTCTCCAGACATTGCCAAATGTCCCTTAGGGGACAAAACTGTCCCTGGTTGAGAACCACTGATCTCTAATGGTAATGGTATTGAAGCTGGACAGTGATGGCAGAGATGGATCACAACTAGCTAAGTATAGAATGAAGGGAAAGCCAACACTTTGGCCATAGTATGCACAAATCCCAGTAGACACACAGGAAGATCTTGCCCCCATAAAACTGCATAGAACTACCCCCACATACATACAAATTACTGTAGGGTTTTAAAAATGGTGAAAACTGAATAAAGTTTGTAGTCTAGTTAACTAGTTATGTACCAATGTCAATTTCTTGGTTTTTTGCTACAAAGCAAAAAGATACAGTACTACAGCCATTTAAGATGTTATTATTGGGGCAAGCTGGGTGAAGGATATATGAGGTTCTTTGCATTATTTTTCCTGTGAATCTATGCTTACTTCAAAATAAAAAGTATTTAATAAAAAACAGATAAAAACCTTGCTCTGTGGTTAATGTGCAAGACTTTAAATTAGATATCTTATAAGCAAGAATAACATAATGAACTTTCAGAAACATTTCTACCTCCACTATCCAAAAATAGTAATTTTCTCACATTGTAGAGAATGCCTTCTCTAGCATAAAAAAAAAAAATCAGTAAAAAAGAGGATAATTTTTATCTATTCCTCTGAATACAATACATAGTCTATGCTTTTACTGAAGAAAATAAAATGCTTGGGGTATCTGGAATAAAAGGTTAAGGTGCTGGTCACACCAAAGTCTGGATAGCCATCCATCTATGATAGCTTCTCATTATAATGTTTAGTCATTTAAAGTCTAAATACAGATATGATGCATAGTTGCTGTTCAGATGTTTCGAAGACATTACAAATATGGATTAAAACATATGGATGGGAATTAGAATATGGATGGGGTAAACAGAAATTCCAATTGTGATATTCTAGCTGATACCAGGACAGTGTGAATTTTAAACTGTTTTTAGATAAAAAGAATTTGTTTATAAAATACAAAGATGTTGGGGGAAAATTTTTAAAAAAGAAACATCAATATGTGCATGTGCAGTCAAGTTACATGATTATTTATGAAGCAGGTTACCTGGATCCTTTTTACTAGACTGATGAGCATGAAAAATAAGGACAGTAGCGTACAGCAATCCCCAAAATGTATAGAAACCGATGGTAATGGTGGACATTTACTATCTTAAATTATGTGCTTTAATAGTTTCACATCAAAATATTCATTATAAAACAAATATAGGAAACTAAAATATTTACACATTTTATTGAAATGCTTTGTATTTTCTCCATTTTGATGGGAAAGTTTGGAATAAAATAGTACAACTCATTCTGGAAAGACACATACCAGTTTGGAGTATTTAGAGGTTCTGTCTGGGGAATGAGATTAAGGAAACAAGGCCTTTTACCTTTAATTTTCTACATTTGTTAATATGATCATATATGACTTTTGTCATTAGGAAAGGAAGGTTAATAAAGATTATAAGCAATTCAACAACTCAACAAGTGTTCTATAGCCTTATTTTATCCCTACAGGAGCTGACCTACTAAAGGGTAAAAGAGAGTCTAGCTAAGAGGATTTGAGGGCCTCAGAGAGAACAATCTTGTTGGTTATGGTTGAAAGTACACACCCAATATACACAAGGAGCTAGTCCTACTCAGGTGGGATTAAGTTTGCTTGCCTTTCAAGGTGCTCCAGTGGATTTCTGTATTTGTTCCTTTAAGATCAGGATACTCTGCCTTTGCTCAGGAGGCAGCATGGCAATCTGGTCTGCAGTCAGTTGTAGAACCTGCATTATCAAAGCAGCCTGTGCAGAGGAAAAAAAGGTAGTGAGTTTTAATGATGACGGTTAAAAAAAAACAAAAACAAAAACACCACCAGCTTCTGTCCAAAAAGCTACTGTAGTGGGATATGAAGCAAAATGGAAAAAGGAAGGATATTTCACACACAGAAAACAAACAGCAGGCCAAAAAAAAAAAAAAAAGAGAGAAAAAAAATCTGGTGAGAGAAAGCACAATGAAAATAACAAGTATAAATTAAAATACCTAAGATTAGTCGATTCAAAATAGACACCTTCATGAACTCAAAGTTCCTGCAGACTAAGGTGGTATCTTTGAGCCCTGGAAATTCTTCAGTTTTTAATCCTGTTTTGAAAGTCTCTCCTTTCCACAAATTTTAGCCTTCCCACCAGACATGAACTCCCCACAATAGTCAAATATAAAAACAGAAAGATATACTCATGGCGAATCTGCTATTGTTTTTTGGGATAAGGTAGAAAGGGAAGGAAGAAAGGGGTTTGGATTTTCAGGTCAGTCTAGCCTACATTAAAAGAACCTACTATTATTGGGAGATGAGTTTGAAATGCAAGATAAGCTGCCATTTACACCCACTTAGGAACTCTATGACCAGACCCACAAATTTTCAGGTAACAAGGCATAAAAGAGTTCTAAGTTAGAGTAAACATCACCTCCAAAGGGACTTTGAAGACCCAGGATCGCCACATGGTAACTGTGAAAACAGGAATCAAAAAGACTAGATTTGTGCATATGGAAGCAGTCAGGCAGTGTTGCTTACCTTCTCATGATCCTGTGGAGTGACTTGATTCTGCCCAGGACTAAAGCCACCAGGCTGGCTTCCACCCTGCATACTCGCTCCTTGCATGCCTGCTCCCTGCATGACTGGGACCTATGTGCACAAAGAGAGAGGAGAGATTTTTGGAACTCCTGATGTATAGGTAACCTGAATCCAGTAAGAGCAATGTGAAAAATTATGCTCTCTATACGGATACGACTAAAAAAAGCAAATTAATGACTCTGAAGATCATTTGCTATACTGTCAGCGATGACAGAAGGCAGGGTTTTGTCAGAGACCAACTAGTAAGTTAGACATACTTGCTTACAACAGCTCTAGCATCATCAACAAATATCACTCAGCACAACTGGATACCATCAAATTAATCAAAATTAAGCCAAATGAGTACAGAGAAAACTGAGAGCACCCTGGAAACTAGTACTCAGTGGAAACACAAACGAAGCCAACACATTCTAGAGAAAACATATGCTTGTCCTCCAGAGAAATGACATTCACAGGGCTACTGCCTACCTCTAGTTCAATCAGACATAGGTAGTTCGTCCCAAAAGGCCCTATCCCCCAAGTGAGGCAGAGGCGATCATAATGTCAGAGAGGTGGAAAGGAGATGGGAAGGCCTCTGGGGAAAAGAATGCTATTCGCCCAACATTTGCTTTTTATAGCTTTCCATAGAGAATATATGGTAGATGCTTTCTGCTAAATGCAGATCAAGAAATATGACTAACCTGAGTAAAAGAAAAAAGTGCACTTTTTATTAAATACTTATTGGTATTTAATTAAGATCTTCAATGAGTTTAACCCTTTGGAAGACTTATTAGAAACGAAGGAAAAGACCTCTGAGCACCAAGCTTAACTGTTAGAAGGTTCCTACACTTACAGTTACGTTCACATTCAGGCATTCACCCAGAGCTTAGATACTCTCTTATTAAACACAAATTGTTAACAAATTGTTACCTGCTTCCCCAGCAGATTAGAAGCAGCAAAGCATAAAAGAAATATGGATAAACAACTGTTAGGAGCAGATACTATGACAGCAATGTGAAGAGCCAGGTGACAGCCTGACAGTGAAGGAGACCAGAAACCAAACAGGAGATAATGATGTTTTATCTATAGCATATACAATAATGTATCTATTTAATGATGACCTTGAGTAATCACAAATGATTATAATCATTTTTAGTATCCTGTTTAAGAAAGGAAGCATAAAATATATCATAAATAATTTTTCATTAAAACAGTTTAAAAACTTGGTAGAATAGTTCTATTATCTGGAACATCCACTTACATGCATTAACTCATTTCCCAAAGATGCCAAATAGATGAAGCATTGGTACAGATTTGTACAGATTGCTAGAATATTAGCACTATTTTCTTCTTTCAGTACTGAATCCAGAGACCAGTATGAACCTTAATGAGCTCTTATGGACCTGAAACACTTATGAGTATAATCTTTTTCAAGCTTTAGTCAATACTAATTTGAGGTACTGTAATGTGATCTAACCACTCAATAATGGCCATTTTAAGTTTCCAGGAGTGCCTGTTCTAGGCAGATAAGTACTAGTAAGAATGACCATACATCTTGGTTTGCCTAAGACAGTTCCAGTTTATGCTTTTGCCTCAGAGTAAATTATTAACAGCACTCTTTTATTCTTAAAAGTGTCCTTTAGATGATAAATTACACAATCACCCTATAATCACTCTAGTAATAATAAGCCTTTTACCCACAAGTTTCCAACTGGGAGGACTGAAGTTAATTTTTAAAATCTGATTTAAAATTATGAATTAATGAATCAAGGCGGGCGCGGTGGCTCACGCCTGTATCCTAGCACTCTGGGAGGCCGAGGCGGCGGATTGCTCGAGGTCAGGAGTTTCGAAACTAGCCTGAACAAGAGCGAGACCCTGTCTCTACTATAAATAGAAATTAATTGGCCAACTAATATATATAAAAAAATTAGCGGCATGGTGGCGCATGCCTGTAGTCCCAGCTACTCGGAGAGCTGAGCAGGAGATTGCTTGAGCCCAGGAGTTTGATTGCTGTGAGCTAGTCTGAGCCACGGCACTCACTCTAGCCTAGGCAACAAAACGAGACTCTGTCTCAAAAATTAAAAATAAAATTATGAATTAAGTACATGTTGTTAAGTAAAAAAAATAAAAAAAACCAAAGTAAAAAAGTGAAGGGGGAAATAAGATATTCATTCTCCCAAAAGATACATAAAAAGATCTAATAAAGTGATTATTTATAGGAGCTAGAGATCAAGATGGGCAGTCTGAGAGGAATCAAGGTGTTTTTCGTTTTAAAAAGAGAGGTGGTCTCACTATGTTGCCCCAGCTAGAGTGCTGTGGCTATTCGCAGGCACAATCAGCGCACACTACAGCCTCAAACTCCTGGATTCAAATGATCTATCTCCTGAGTAGCTGGGACCATAGGGTATGCCATCATGCTCGGCTTGGAAGTGAGGTTCTTAATGTGTATCTTTATAGATGAATGAATGCATTATGTATATTTATTATAAGTAATATTAATTAAACATTTGTAAAAAAGACAGAGATAAAAATTTTATTTTCTCTACCTTGGATTTATGGCTTATAGAATCTACTTATGAAACATATAAACCTATTTAGAGTAAGACTTCAGTACTAGCAGGAAAAAAGAGTAAGAATTATCAGAAATGGGTCTTCCAACATACTTTCAACGTCTTTCTCCACAGAATTATGGGCAGAATTGATAAGGACATTATGCAGATATGTTATTTGTCTGCCATAAAGTGAACCCAGAGCTGGGTTTTTTGTGTTCTGCTTCCAGTACTAGATCTATCTCTGTTACACAGTGCTCAAGAAATATTGCTCAATGAGAATGAATGCATAAAACCTTTCTGAGGCTACTGACCATACAGGCACATAAAAACCAAGGCCATGACTATTTTTCTTAAAGCAAAACTTGAAAAATGGAATAGTTTTATTCTAACACATACCAGAAATAAAACATATTTTGGAAAAAAATAGTGGGCTCTATTTCTTGCTATGGCAATTTTAGTTATGTGATTTGGTCAAGTCACCTGAATTCTTGGTCCTCGAGTTCCAAAACTATAAAATGATGGAATGTATGGCTGCATTTATTCTAGCCTTTATCTTTGGCATGCGCGCGCACGTGCGCGCGCACACAGGAAGAAATAAAACAATGGAGAGGGGAGAGAGAAGTACACGAAGGAAGAAAAAAAGGAAGGTGAAGTTCTAGAGGAAATGAAGGTGCCAGCATGAAACTCAGGGAAGATAACATGTACCACTTCCCACACCAACTGGGGATAAAGAGGGAGGTGATGCAACCACAGACCATCCCATACAGACAGCTTCAGAGTGCCAATAATGGAGAGAGGAGACAGGCTTCATTTCCACAGCTTCTAAGGTGATCATATAATTGCCTTCATACTCGACTATTCACTTCGGCTATGTGATGACAGTAAATCAACAAGGTCTCAGCAAACCTAGATTACTTTAAAGACCACTAACAACTCTCCATATACTCAACCAGTGGTTCTTAGTCAGGGTTGCACATTAGAATCACTTGGGGAGGTTTTTCAATATCTACGCTCAGATCCTACTGATAAGAGATCCTGAGTTAGGCCTGGGGTGAGATTCCAGTCAAAATATTTGGAAAAGCTTGTATGTATTGGTCTGTACCCTAAATAGAGTAGTAGAAGACTACTCTCTAACCCCTAAAATTTTGTTCTGAATGGAATAGCTACTATATTGTGGGATATGGTTGTTCTTTGAACTACAATCTTGGTAGCCAGAAAATCACTACCTTACAGACACAGAAACTATAGTAAGATCCTAGTCTTCCCTCTAACAAGCGAGAATAGTCAAGTCAGAAGGCAGTAATAATCAGGCTCAATAACCAATTCTTGAATTAGATCTAGATTTCACTTGGATGCTAGAAGTGAGTGTTTACACTATACCTGTCTGGATCCCTGGGGGCAACTGCCCCCATGTTAATTGGACTGGGACCCTGGATTCCACTAGGTATAGGCCTCTAGGGCCAGGCACGGGCCCCTGGTATCCATCGCCTCTGGCTTCCATTGCAGGCCTCCATTGCTCGGGCCTCCATTGCACGAGCTTCCATCGCCCTGGCCTCCATCGCACGGGCCTCCAATCCTCTGGCATCTAATCCTCTGGCTCCATGGCTCGGGCCTCATCCCTCGCGCATCTATTCCTCGGGATCTCTTCCACCTATAAGAAAGTGGTAAAAAAAACTTCACTTGTACTGTAAGAAGAACCAACAATCCAGAAAGACAGAAATCTATTGCTCTAGTCACATCTCCCTCAATAATCGAGACTATCGTCTCTTCTCCATTCTCAGATTTGCAGATAAACCTTAAAAATCTTCGTCAACTTATTGCTCTAGTATGTCTTTTCCCAGATTAGGCCTAAGATGCTGGGTTCACCATGTCCCACAACTTCCAGTTAGCCGTGGGATGTGGTCTCCCCTTACCTCTGCCATCCAAGGTGGACCCCTCTGATCTAGCATGGGTCACTCTTGGTTCTGCCATTAGAGTCTGGGCTCGGCTAATGGACCACCCCTCATTTCATGTGGGGTGGTCCACGGTTCTCATGGCCAGGACAGGTGCATGGGTGGACCCTGATGAGGTGGTCCCAGGTAACCTCTAAAGGTGGAGAAAAATGTATATTTTAAAAAGAAAAAAACAACCAAAAAGTGTCAACAGAAGATCGTAGTAAACATCCAAAAAACTGAAGCAAAATCAGTCTACGTATGCTAACAAGAGAGTAACACAACACACTGAAGAAATGCTATGGAGATATATAATCACATATTCTAGATGTCATATTTGGAAAGCTCATAATTAGGGAAGAATCAATAGATATTCGTGTATATGTATAATGAGCATGCAGTACAGTGCTTAAGACATAGGTTGACTACAACTCTTGCAAGGGAAAACAAAAATAAATACAAAGAATAAAGAAGAACATAAATTTAAAATTAAAAAAAGAACATGGTTCTGGTTTCTGACTGTATGGGTTCAAATGTAGGATCTATGCTTATTAGCTGTGTGATCTTTGGCCACATTTACTTAACTTCT